ACACCTGTTTGGCTCAGGCACTTGGGGAGCTCACCAGGCATATGTTTATGTAATTCGACAACCTAATTGCACGAATCAATGACGTAGACAGCAATATCTCTTGGGGGGGGGGGTTCAACCATAAAAAACCATCTTATATTGTATCTGCTGTATTTCTATTTCGTATGTTCCGTTTTTACAAGACACTCCATGCATTCTTGTGTGCGTGCACGTTTCACGCGGAGCACGAGCCTCTTCTTGATTCTCTAAAGCTGGGTGTGGTTGTTCATTGGTATTGTGAACTGCATAGACACTGTATATCGAAGCTATGTTTCACGCGTAGAAGCAACAACAACACACTTATTGATCCAGCTGCATTGTGTTTTGTTCTTCCTAAACTGTCTCTAATAGTGATCTGACCTGAGCAATGGGAAAATGAACAAAAAAAAACAAGAAAAATAAGAACTTACTTTCTCGTAGATACAGACGATCATCTAACGAAAGTGTTCTTCGTCGTATATTTCGGCTAGGGTAGCAAAGATTCACCGGAGAGGAAGCCGCTCAGGAGTATGGTGAATGCAGCGCATCGAAAGTTTGCTATTACATTTCTTCTCAGCTTGTTTGTCCAGCTTTCGCGCCACGCTAGAAATGGTGTGGTGTGCAAGCTTCATCGAAACACTTGAAAGCACTGGCATCCGCAGTAAGTCTTGGATCACTCGCACGACAAGTATAGGCACGCCTATAGGCAGGTAATCATCTGGCTCATGCACAAAACACAACACATCAAGGCACTGGTGAGCGCTCCGCTTGACACCACGCCCGCCTGTCCCGGCGCCACAGTAGCCGTTGTCGAAGCGTTAACAAGGCAGCTCTGTAGTGAACGTGCTCCGTCACTGTTGAAAGAACGTGGCGGTGGCAGCCAAATTGATCGATAAACGCTGTCAAAGTGAGACGGGCTCCGCCATGGACGCGATGTTGGCACAGAAACTTCCCTCGAGGGACTATTCAAGCTAGCTCGATCGCTTCCTTGACAATCTCGAGGAAACGCTCGAGATTTTCTCAAGTGAAGGAAGCGTTTCAAGTGAAGGGCGGCTTGTGAATGGGAAAACGCCACTCAAGGAGCGTTTCGAGGGAAGGGTCGAGTCGAGGAGCGTTTGTGAATACGGGGGTGAGGTGCCAGGGATGCCAACCTATGATGACCTTTTATCCCTAGATTAACCCCTACATTCTCTAGATAACAGAAAGAATCCCCAGATTATCTTTTTATATCACTGTTCAGGCTATTGACCCTTTACTAAGTATTAAGATAGTGAGCTCTCTGGCAAATCTCTTCCGAATCTTGTTAAAACAAAAAAGTGCATAATACCTACTAGTAAAGTGTTGCTTTTTCTAAATGTTGTGTGGAGTTGCACATAAAGTACACGCAGATGGTACTAGTAGCTATAGACGTCAAACTTTGTAGTTTCACACACACGCAGCGCCGTCTATCGGCGTAGTTTTAGGTAAAGCAAAGCCCGACTCCTTTGCACAGTTTGCTACGCAACCAGTTACAGCTAGCGCGGGGGAAAGCATGATTGGACTAAATATTCGGAGTATTTGCGTATTGAACACTGCGAAAAAGATCTATGAATTTCTCTCTTCTAATCAGACGCATCGTCTAACTGCCATAAAGTGCTTGCTGGTTCACTCGCCAGAACGAAAGCGAAAACGATTGAGCAGACGCAACGGGTCCGTCTTCTACGAAGGAAGACCTTAGCTGACGCTATCAGTACGTTATGCGTTGCTACGTGCGTGAAGGGCTTCAGTTTTACCGATTTCCATAGCTTTCACGAAGCAATATGGCGAGATCGCTTGATACGGGCAGTTGCGAAAATGTTTGGTCAGCGAAATATACTCGCCTTCTCCCGAGCCGGTCCCATGAGAAATGGTGATAATATGAACCTCCTGTTATTTATTTGATTAGCCTTGACGGATAACCGTGGCAACTTTGACTACGAAGCCGAACAGATGTTCTGACCACGGTGCCCGCCGTGCAACAATAGACTGATGGCGCAGGCAATGAACATCGCAGACGCCGTAACCACCGATATCCTGAAGTGGTTGCCACCACACAATATCACAGACGTAGGCTTTGGAGGCTCAAACTTCTGACTTTTTTTCTAGCAAATGCGAACGCGTGCGTCGGACAGGTAAATAAAAAAATCTTTGTCGTGACCACAATCACGATTTTCCCGCCATCGGTCTTTACGATTGCCGGAGTTGTCTCCGAGGCCTCGGTTTTGCATTTTTTTGTACACCGAGAAAGTGGACGTGCATGTATCCCCCCTTGCATAATATTCAAATGGAAGACAATCATCAAGATAACATTCTGAGATGCGTAATCAAACAGTTCAACGCACAGAAAAAGAAAGATGGATGGAGAATGAAACTGCAAAGGGTTAAACTGCCAGGGTCATTTGTGTCGAAAAAAGTGAACTTCGTACCACTGATTGTAAGATACATTGCTCATGTATGCACTTCATCGCTATGCCTAAATTTAAAGCATTTACGCGTACAGAACCCGAGTCTGAGTTTTTGCCTCGAAATTGATGTCATGCGCTGCTCTTTTGCCCCTAAATTACGAGTTGTAGCACGTGGAATCGACTGAAACATCTTTTGCATGGTGACCGCAGTTCAGTCTCATGATATTTTCCCACCTTATTGAAGCGAGGTTTGATTAACCGAAAAACTTTGCCAGGGGCTTCATCTTCAGAAAGCCATGCCTCAACACCTGCGAAACAGGAGGGCCTATGCACGCTCGCTTGTGGACGGCTCCCTTTGCACTACCCAGTTATGGCAAGCGTGGCGATGAGGGCACTGGTGGTGGCTTGTTTCTTAGCGCCGCCCTGGTAGAGTCTTACGTTTATAGATTCAAAAATTCGGGTCAACTACAAAAGCTCCTTCCTTGTACTTGCAGCTTGTGAAGTGGCGATTTATTTTCAGTTTTCACATGTGCAATCTCTGTCGCAATATTTTTTAGTAAATAAGCGTGGGCCCCCTTTAACTGGCTGATAGCCACGCCTTTAATGTGTACTTCCGATCGGCTCCCCGTTCAGCAGAACAATTCTGTCAGGTTTTTCTCTCACGTGAAGGGCGCGACGGACACACTAAAACACCCCAACAGTCTTCTCGTTTATCTTCATCACGCCGTTTCTGCCATACTGAACCAGTACCGCATTACTTATTCTTCAGTCCTGCTTTCGTTTCGTTCCTGTCTAAGCCTCCTGGTTCAGCTATTTCACATGGATACATAACTCGGCAAAAACTGGCTGTAAACAGAAACTTGGCACATGTTTACAAGCACTACAATAAAAATTATGTTTGTTTCATAGAGCAGCAATCAATAAAGGCGCTAGTGTTGTTAGCGTGCATGCTTGAGCTCTTACGACGACAGAGTCTCTTTTTTTTCAGCGTTTCGCATATAATATTGTCGCGTTACAGAACCATTATACCTTTTACTCGGCCCAGCAGAACACCGAGACTCTTAAGCAGGCAAAATATGAAATAGCCAAAGTTATAGCTTTATGAAAACTTTCTAGCTGAAAGAGCGTGATCATTTAGTATTGCCTTAATTATGTCAAGTAAGGTTATTTTTATAGCCTTATAAAAATCTTGAGATTGAATCTGAAGGACGCCAAAGTCCTCAAAAAAATAGAAAATCCCTAAATGTAGGGATAAATCTTTAGGTTAGGCATCACTGTGCGGTGAACACTGTCTCAACACACTACCTGTCCTCGATCAATTGAAATCGAGCGCTTTTAACTTCAGCGTGTGTTCGTTGGAAATTGATATTTACTATAAATACAACTTTACTAAGATTATTATGCAGCTTTGTTTATGCTTTTGTCACTCATTATTCACACAACTGTAGCAAGCCTCTAAATGACTACTTGCGCACGTGTCTCAATACATCCACGCTTCGCCGCTTTCCCTAAAAACGACTCGCCGAGAAAGCCAGCTGCCACAGCCGCCAGCGGTTGGTGATGTCGTCAGCACTGGGAATGCGGAGAGCCCCCCGGACTTGAAAGTCTAAGTGGTGTTGGGCGGCGGCGCTTGAGAGGGGAAGAAGAGGCGCGTGTGCGGCGTCTTTTGATGCTTGTAACTTAGTTTTGCCGTCTTTTTTCGAGTCCCCCTGGCACCCGGTTTTTGCGTAACCATTAAAACACAGAGGCGTGCGCTTTTTCGAGCGCTTGTTTGGGACAAACATGACTTTATGGAAGCTTAAATGATCAGTTCAAACATGGAAATCATCAGATATGCGTTTTCCGAATGGCATGATTCCCATGCAACGCTCATGATGCGCCTGCAGCCGTTTTGTTATAACCAGATGTAACAAAATTCATATGATATTAGGTTAGCCTGCAACATATTTAACAGTCGATCATAAAATGCCAATCATGACATAGATGTCATGTATGCCATGGCTTACATGCCGCGGTCTTGGGACGCTCGTGGCCGTTTAATTGAGTGCATATATACCTCAATTCGTATGGCACAGAAGGAGGGTATCACAAATGCAAGTAGTATGTCGCAGCATGTGAATAATTTTATGCAAGTCAAAGTGCGGTATGATTTCAATGTGACGTTCATTGCGCGCCACGGCCTTTTCGATCATTTGCTTGATATATACCAAAATTTTTATGGCTTGACGCGACTGCGTGAAGAGCATAAATGACAGGCCGTAGCATGAAATTCATGCAATGCATGTCATGTACAGCCTAATTTACATGCCAAGCTCATGGTACCTGTTTCACTAGCTTGATATGTGCCAATGTATGTCGTGACATGACTGCATGTGACATGATGGCGTGACATGACTGCATATATCTGTATGTTTGCAACGGTACAGACATAGTTGAGTTTTTTCTCGTGGTACTGCCGGAATTTTTGTAAATAAGTCATGTAGTTGAGAGATGTTTTTTACAATGTGGAAAAAGGTAACCTGCCGTTATTTTTGTTTTCTTGTGCCTCCCTCTAAGCAGTGGTGGACGCTACAGCGAAGTACCCAAACGGCCTTTTCCAGATGACACTAGCTGACCTCGGGGCTTACGACGAGTGTATTGAGACGGTGGAGCGAGACACGGACGGAATAGTGCAAGTTCGGGGTCAGTACTGTGATGTGCAAATTAAACTGACGGATAACAACTCTGCCGTTGATGAACTCACGCGGGCCGTTACCTTGTCCAACGCAAAGGTAACTATTATTTCGTTACATACTTATTTTTTCATTATTCCTAACTACCTTAACGATCCATTATAGCAGGATTTCATAAGCAGTGCAGACCGACTGCTGGTGCAATCCTATATACAAAGTTCATAATTCTTCCCTTTTTCTATGAATGGGGGAGCGTTAAAGATCTACAGTTCATGGGGCCCTATTGATGAAAACATTCAAGAGCCAATAGAATATTTTATTTCTTGTACATAAACTACACTTGTGCCACATTAACTTATCAGATGACAAGACAAGATTTTGCTGAAAATTTCTTTTTGTTGCGCTAACCAGCTGTCAAGCAAACGTACGTTTTTCACAAATGACAATACGGCCCGTCCTACTACTCGGAGGAAATAAGGTTCTTAACAGCCACTATCCCCTTTCTGCATCGTCAGCAGCAGCCAATCACAGACGCCAACCCCTCTTTCTTCCCGCAAACACACCTCCAGCCCACTTGTTTAATCGTAGTAACGCTTTTCTGAAAAAATAAACCACGTGCGTCTTTGTAGAACTGGGCGGTAAATTATTTGCTATAATTACGTGACGAATGCATCCAATTTTTAAATGCGAAGCATTGCTTAGCGAAATTCGGTGTCTTTGATCTATCTATCTATCTATCTATCTATCTATCTATCTATCTATCTATCTATCTATCTATCTATCTATCTATCTATCTATCTATCTATCTATCTATCTATCTATCTATCTATCTATCTATCTATCTATCTATCTATCTGTCAAGCCGCCTATGACTTTTAGCTCTCGTGGCTGTTTCAATAATGGTATTGACACAAAAATTGGTATAGCATAACATGGCTGTATGACGAGCATAAGTGACGTATTAACAGGAAAATAATGACATTTATGTCACACGCGTCATGATATAAACTTCATGGTCTTGCTGCTCTTGCGGTGGTTTTCTTGGCATGACATATTCCAAAACTGGTATGGTATGACATGACAGCATGATAAACGTAAGTAGCAGACCGTATAACGTGAAAATTATGACATGTGTCGCATGTGAAACATTACTACATGATACGCTCATAGTGCGGTCGCAGTAGTTTCGCAAGCTTCTCATGTACAACATTTGGTGTTACGTGACATGAAAAGATGACTTAAGTATATGACTGGTGCTAACATTATGATCATGACATGCGTTTTATGTAAGAGCATCACATGCCACACTCATGATGCACTCGCGGACGTTTCGCTTGCTTCACATATACTAAATTTAGTATTACGTGACGTGAGCGGATGACGAAGGTATAAGACTTGTGCATGCATGATAATCATAACATGCGGCCATGTAAGAACATGAATACATGTCACGCTTATGATGCGCATGCAGCCGTTTCACTAGCTTCACATATATCAAATTTAGTATTACCTGACGTGAATGGATGATGAAGGTAAATGACAAGTCCAAACATAATAATCGTGACATGGTAGTCATATACGGCATAGTTTACGTCTGCGCTATAAGGTTGTGGTGATTTTAAAGTGACATATCAACCTTCCTCATTTGTGCTTCGCATATCATCAAATTCCACTGTACGTAGGATCTGCCAAGTTTTTCTTCTATGTTTTCAAATAAGCATCGTCCGTTTCCTGGCGGCTGTCAGCAGTGTTTTCATAGAGAACAATGTTACGGTGCCTTGCAGTAGTTTGGCGAAATCCACGTTTCATTGTATGTTACGTAAATGTCATAACAAAGAATAAGCTATCAGTTATGGCCGAGCACCTCACCGCGTCAAGCTACGTTTTCTGAACCTAAAATACATCTTTTAATTATTACCAGGAACTTGAGAAAGAGGAGGTTCAACACAGCTAATGAGGAGTAGAAAGCTTCAACAATACTATAAAAAATATTTACATAGACAAGGCCTAAAATTGATTGAACTCTTTGCGTGTGAAAATAAATATAATTCGTGCTGGAAATTTAAAACATGATAAGCGCCATGCTAATATATTTATTTGCAATCTGATCAATATGTGGGATTGAACGTCCTAAAACCACCATATGATTATGAGAGACGCCGTAGTGGAGGGCTCCTGAAATTTCGACCACCTGGGGTTCTTTACCGTGCACCCAAATCTGAGCACATGGGCCTACAACATTTCCGCCTCCATCGGAAATGCAGCCGCCGCATTATTTGCAATCTTACAATACACAAATTTATGATTTCCAGGAATTTGTAAGAAAGTCTACAAGGTATTTTTTAACCAAGCTCTTTCATTTCCAGACTGATTTTGTCACCTATTCTGCTTCCACCGCTCGTCATTCCAGGGAATATACACGGATTGAAAAAATAATTTGTTTTTCTCTCAAAACGATTTCTGGCGTTGTCAATTATTACTTCTGAATATCAGTTCGCGCCACGATGGTGAACTAGGAGAGCGTAGTTAGAGGAAGCCACTTCTACTGGGCATGGTGGCGGCAAAAGCGCGAGTGAGAGAAAAAAGTCTGTGATCACGAGTGATGATTAAAAAAATACGATTACTTATTCGGTAAACACTGTTGCGGGTTTTACCGATTCGTCGGATACGTAATGGCATTTTGTCACCCCATATTCCTGAAAACGTTTTGAAATTATGGCTGTTGGAACTATGAGAGGCTGCTGGGGATTTGTTTAAGTTAGGTTTTATTCAATGTTGCTACAAAAATAGGACTTTATTACATCCTCATGTGCGAATGAAAGTATGAACAATTCATTATTTGTGATGCACTTCACAAAGCACCACGCGAGTATCTGTCTCGGGCTATATACGGGAACAGTAGTAAATAACAAGACCCTACCTAGTGCGCAAACGTTGTTTCTTCTCCCACCCTTTGGTAATCCGTTCACAAAGCGTGCTGAAGTTAATACTTATTGTGCCAGTTCCACGATGTGTAAGTGCAGGGTAAACTTAAGCAAAATTCCCGTGAATCCACCTAGGTAGTTGCCTTTCTGATGAGTGAACACAGTGTTTTACTGTGAATTTCAGTCTTATTTAGACACTTGCCGGACGGCATCAGCACGGCCTTTCAACTGGCTTCTAGCGCCAGTTACCACCTGGAAAGGTACTGTAAATTCAGAATCTGCTACCGACGAAAAGAGTGCCTGGCATCAAATTTTGGCTAATTTGAAAGTTTTCGGGCGTGCACAATCTTCTATAACGACAATACATGTAGGCATACAGAGACTTTTCACTCCAACACTGCGAAGTGAAACGAAATTCTCATCAAAAGCGCTCCCCATTTACTTTCTTGTGTGCCGCTTGCTCACACCAAACATATGGTAGATTTAATAAAGTTGTATTCGATTCCATTCAGTTCACCTATATTGACATTTTGCAAGCATGTGTGCACAGCCCGGAATTTTCGCACATGAGCATTTTTTTTCAATAGTGCTAGCATGTTTATTGTCGCTGTGTGATTGTAACTCAGTATCGCAAAGTTTCTGCTATTTCGCAATTGATAGTGTTACTATGCTTACTCAAAAAAACATAGTGCGTACTTATTCACTCGTTCGGTAAGACAATGACTGCAAAAAAATTATTCCTAGTCATTTTTATGAATTGTTCTAGAACTATAGAAGGCGAAAGCTGTCTCAGTGACATCACAGTAGACGTGGTCATTTTCTAATAAGACTGAATCTTGGGCTAGTTACTCGTACTTCACAATGATCCGGCACCGCAACCACTGAAAAAAAAGATCACTCATTGAACACGGGAGTGTATGCTTAAGTGGCTTCGCGTGTTCACAGTTATGGGTGTGAAGCCAAATTCAAAGAGGTTAGTATTCTGAACAAACATAGCAACAAGTCTGTTAGAGGGTTGAATGAGGCTTAGTACATTGAAAAATGTTCTGGTTCATGCATTAGTTAATCATCAGTGACGTTGCCTCATTGTAAATATGACTTTTCAAATCAGCGATTCTGACTTTGATATGTATGTAAGCACGTTTCTTGTTTTAGTCGTTTCGTTTTTGTTGGTACACAACGAATTCTGTATTCCTTCAGTTTGCGCATGCGGGAAGCTCAGAGTGCTTGTTTTGAAGGGTGTCGTTTTCAAAAAAAATTCAGTGGTGAATTCAGCGCTGTGTTTTTTGTGTGCCTTCTTTCCCTCTCCTCGTGTGGTTTTGCTACCGTTTCATTATGAAGGTTTGATCCTCCCCCGCCCTCTTTCAAAAGCCGTCGGCAAGTAGCGTGGTTTTGCACTGCTTCCTAGACTGGAAGCACTGCGAGCTGTCGGCGCCCCATTTATTTTTGCACCTTTGACCAAGCGACAATGTCATGTGACGACGTCTTTATCCGACATCACCTGATGTGACGACGTAATGATGCCTCACCTTTCGGTGATTCGTGAAGCCATAACTACTTCATAAGGTGATCAGATCAGGAGGTTATGAATTTCTCATCATTCATGCCGACGACAACGCTGGGGTATGCCTACGCCGATGGTAAATATTCTAGTTTCGTGAGGCATCTAGTGAGCATCGTCACTATTTAGCATAGTCAGAAAACAATGCCGCTTGGTGATGGAGGCTCCTGAGAATACTTGAGCCACATATTGGAGCCCAGCACACAGCCAAGAATTTACGATTCTCAAACTAAGCCATAAATATTTCCATCTTCTCACGAGATTTATAGCCACGCACCTAAATGACGGCACCATGAACCAAAAATCTACTGCTATTGGTGGATTTGAGCAACGTGAGCTTAAAACCTCTGGCGCCCGCCTTGCGATGCCTCTACATGTAGGTGCTCGCACTCATGCTGAAACTATGTCACGCGTTTAAGAAAAAAAAAGTCTAAGGGCTGAGCAGTGAATGCGATAGCAACAATTTAGAATGCCATGCAAAGAATGGAACGCATATCCAAACGTTCAGCGCGCTGCTCACACATTAGCCTAATTACACACGAAAACATTACACACAGAACGAAAGCGAACTAACAACGTCCACAGCTTGACACTTAACACGATGTTCGAAAAAA